CTCCGTTTCCGTGTATAGCAATTATTTCCTCACCTTTTGTAACCGTCGGTAGGGCGAGTAGCACTCTACTCGGTGGACTTGAGTTGATGCTGAACTTGACCGTGGTTGGATTTGGTTGGGGGTTCGATCGCGCGGAAATCTTCACGCAATCAAGGGTTACTTGGGGCACTCTGTATGAGTCGCCCTGATCTCTCTTGAGATCGCCTTTTCCAAACAATGTAGATACTTGATAAGCTTGACCTTCTGACCACTTGAGCCGTCTCGCGAACTTGTGCCTTGTCCTTTAAGTGATACTGCGTCCAATCGCAGGCGAAGTTTGTCTATGAGAGATCTTGTAATCCCTGGCCAAACAATCCAGGGATATTACTTGTAGGTACTGGTGGCAAAAGCTCTTGATCGTCGGGGGGCCAAAAATATCCCACTCGGAGGAGAAGTCTGCGTGCGTAGTTGGAAGTAAAAGAAACTCTGTTTAAAGTTAACCAATCAAAATACTAAATCCTACGATACTGTTTATCTGTATACCAGGTTCCTCTATGCCGTGTCGTCCTTTCCGAAAAAATGAGATCTCGATAGGTGGCCCACTCCAATATAGCTGCGACCTCACTCTTAGTTACGATGTCGATCATGATCGCATTTCTTGATCGTGATCACATTTGTCGGTCGTAATCGTATTTGTCGATCGTGATCGTACTTGTCGATCGTGATCACGTTTGTCGATCGTGATCGCACATTTATCCATGTTGATCTGACCGAAGTTATATACATGCCGATTGGCTCAATCGCGATCCCGATTTGGATGTGACCGATTGTTACCAATAAAAATCGCAGTTGCGATTGATCGGCAATCGTCACAATCGCAAGGTGAAATCGATCGTAGTCCATTATCGTTGTAGGTACAATCATGATCGAGCATCAAAAGTCGACATGTAGTCGTAATCTCCACTTCTTCTGAAACAATATTAGACGCTCGATTGATCGACCTGATAAAATCAGATCGATCCCATAGTATAAACAAGTAATTCTGACGATTAATTGATCGATCCAAGAACTACTGATCGAGCCCATATTATAACATCGCGTAATCCCATATTATCGATCCATGTATGTGATCCAAATGTTTCAATCGACTTCACCACACCGCGGTGAGCGGAATGTCAATAACTTGCATGAGCATTATGTAGTACTCGTCGACTTAGTCTAGCGCACTGTACGTAATACAACCGACCATATTGTTTTGAAGAACATCTTTTCTAGGTATTGGCGTCTATGCAGGTGTACTGGCTGCATTGAGCTTATTATAAGCATAAAAATACGATACTTACCATTGGATTTCTTGACACAGAAAAGGAGGTGCCGAGTGCCGAGAATGGTGGCTCTCACAAACCATACCCGCCGCGTGCTTTGCACGAAAGAACTCTTCATTGACGTCACACTGTACTTTGAATAACGGCCACTGCCGTGTTACGCATTATTTGGTCCGAGGAACCATGTCAATCTCATGTCGTACACCTATATCAGGAGGTAGAACAGACGTTGGATCATTGAACACCACGTCCTAGAATTCCTTAACTAAAGTGTAGTAGGGATCTGACGGATTCTTCAAAATAGATGATCCACTATGTTCACTATATGCCTCTTTGTATCGTCAAGGACTGTGTAATCGACAAGCGAGATGGAGTTCAGATCGAGGTCAGGTTGAATGACCACCATATCGGATAGATTTCAGCCTTCAAGTCTTAATAAAATTCATCCAAAACATTTCGTTTAGATCTAGCAAAGCGTTTAATGATGGGAGGACCTCAAGGTCAACCTCACCATCTGCATCACCTGTCACTCCGTTGACCAGGGTTTACAACTGGTCACTGACATTATTACGTGATAAAGCAGACGCCTTGCGTCTCGCAGCCTCCATATGGCGACGCTGCCGTCTCCTTAACGATACCGTAACTTTGTAGTACTTGAGATATCATCATTCCCAAGGCCATTGGTCTCCTCGACCTTAACCTGCTCTATACGCCAGCCGATGTTATTACATTCAGTGGGTCATTATCACAGGTGACATCACTAACAAGTTCATCGACCTTAACTTGCTCTATACGAGAGACTATGTCATTACTGACATTCGGTGAATCGCTATCATAGCCTAGATCATAAACAAGATCATCGACCGTAACTTGCTCTTTACAAGAGTCGATGTCATTACTGACATCCAGTGACTCAATATCACTATGAGTATCACTCGAAGGAGCACATTTCGTTCCACTAGATGTCACTGAGCTCTGCTCGACGCTTTTGTTGTTGACGTTGGAGTTTATCAGCTCAGACACACCATATCCAGCACACTAACTGAATCGTTTAGTAGCTCGCGCTAATAGGGCTTCTGTTTCTTAGCGAAGGTGGTTTCATGACTCTCCAAAGCTTCGCTAGGAACATTGCGCGTTGCGCCTAAAGTTTTGGATCTCCAATCGATCCACGGCTCATGGCGTTCCAGCCAGGCCATACCGAGAATGAGATCATATCTCGAGTCCAAATCTAGGACAAGACAGCGTTCAACGCTATTGAAGTCTAAGAACTTCACACCTAAGTTCAACGGAACTTTAGGAACGGTGACACGTACACCTGTCGCGAGACGCACGCTTATACTGTCACCCTCTTGCGCTTCTAGCGCCTCAGCATATAGATGACTCCCTTCAAGGTAACGACGTCGGACATAATTACCCGACGCCCCTGAGTCAAGTAAAATTGACCATGGTTTCTCAAAACCCTTAACGGTTGCCGACACAACCAACAAGCCTGGCTTGTAATTTTGTTCTATGGGAGCATCCACAGAGCCACCTGAGGCTAAGCCCTGCATACCTTTACCTCCTAAAGATTCAACAGAGTTTAACCCTTTCCCAGTAGGGCGCCCCGCGCCTACTGGGAGCTGACGTTTTCCCCTGCCGTACTCGCCTTTTGGCAAGGAGAAGGTTTCGGCTGTATCGGTTCTCTGACGTTTATTTCGCGACGGACAGCAAGAGTGCAGGTACCTAGTGCTTCCGCACATGTAACATCTACGGATGCTACTTTGCTACTCTGCAGATTGAAGCTCAGCTTCTCCAGCATGTCTGAGGTCCATGGGTTCGCTTTATAAGAGGAATTTAAAGTGTACCGTGGTAGACCATAGAAAGCAGATTTGAAATTGTAGTCAGCATTAAACGCTGTGCTCACTGCCTCTTCGAAGATCGAAGGATGGACACGAATAACTTCTGTCCTGGCGACCTCAGTACGAAGTCCTTCCATAGATATGTTTACTCGGACTTCCTCTGCCAGAGGTAGCAGCACTAAGAGCCCTTAACCCTTGGACATAGTTCGATGGTTCTTTCTTGCCCTGTCGGGTAGCTAAGAAGCGTTAGCGCACTCGATAAGCCTAATTAGGCGGTGCAAACACGCAAGTGAATTGCTTTTTAAGCATATCCCACGTGGGAAATGCGGTATTTACAGAGACATCGCTCGTCAGAGCCCATTATCTAGCTTTTCCACCGAGCTTAGAAATGGCCAAGCCAGCTCGCTGCTTATCTGACATGAGCATGACGGCATCCGTTGTCATTTCAACCTCTCGGATCCAGAGGAGAAGATTTTCTCCCTCTTTCCCCTCAAAGGTTTTAGCGTTTAAAGCGAGTGGGCGAGCCTTTGGCTCTGCATCGGGCACAGGTACCGGGATATATTGTGTAGGCACAGCTGACGCTGCCTGGTCGTGGACCTGCCCGAGTAGCGTTGCCTCATAACGCAATGAAGGTCTCAAAGCGAGCATCGAGGACCTCCGGGTCCTGGGCCTAAAAAGCCTCAATTTGATCGGACCCAACGAACGCGGATAATTTATCTAGTGCGAGTTGTTGTGCCTAAGAGAGGTGATTTTGACTCTACATCCTCACAGAGGGCCATTTTTAGAGATTCAAGTGTAGGATTGACTACAAGTGCTACCAAGTGTAGCAGAGCTACACAGCTCTTTAGTCAGAGGAAGACTTCTATGGCTAAAAGCCTCTTTGCTCAATAGAGCTAAGTAAAAGTTGAAGGCTTAGAGCCACTTAGTTCCAAAAAATAATTAAACGACTACGAAGTCTACCCGTTCTACGGAACTAGGAGGGACTTCTAGTCTACAAGCAATAGCTGAAGGGTTCTGAGAACCAACGCACAGAGTGCAAAATCAAGCTAAAAGCTTCAAGTTTCGAGGAACCAACGCACGAAGTGCACAAAAGAAACAAGCCAATACCGGCTTTACCATTACGACTCAAAACGTGAACAGATTTTATCGATGCATTAAGTTTTTATGAATAATCCTACTCTACGTGCGCTACACTAGATTGATTACAATTATAGTAATTATAGTATGCCATCGTCTGTATCTGGATATGGAATCATTTTTAGTACTACTTTGTTAATTATGAAACTTCCGTATAAAGATAATATAAACTATACAAGTTCAACCGTAATGTACTTTCGATATGATGTTGCAATCGTCGTGTAGCCCCGTTACAATATTAGAGCTTACATTAAGGTACTTCAATGCGACAACTTCGGAAAATATCAAAATGCAATAACGGATGTATTACAAGAGCAACGTAGTAAGCAAAAGTATACAGAAGTATTTTAATTCGGAGCAAAACGGCATGGCTAAGCGTGCGGATTAGACCTCAGGTCAATGTGTGCTGATGAAGAGCGGTCTTGTCGAGGGCTGGCATTCGCAAAAATCATGCCAAACACCTCCAATTTGTACTTTAGCCCAACTGATCTAATATCCAAGAGGAAGACATGAGCTGACGTATATGCACGTGTTTGGAACTGAGTGATACGCACACATCATAGGAATAACGCAAGTCGCTAGTTTGGTACAGAATAAGTCCCTTCGCGCGAATGTGGAATGAAAGTATCAGGAAGTTTTGCTTAATATTAGGGAAGTGTGCATGATGTTTAATTAAGAAGGAGCCTATCATAATAGTATATTGTTCCAGATCACAAACACTATGGGAAACGTCCCGAACAAGGGGTTTGTGTACTCATGCAATGACTATCAACTCGCCATTGAGACGTCCAAGGAACTCGAGTATATGCTGGAAAAAGAGTTCAGTGCACATGGTCAAGGACTGCACGAGAAAGTTTCGTCTGTAGAGGGCACTATTCCATTCCCCACAGTTCGCTCAATCCGCTACGTTGCGACCCTTCGTAACAAACTTATTCACGATCGAGAGACGAAGGCGCTGCCCGATCGTCAGCAATTTATCAAGAAATTTGATGACGCGATGGCAGAACTCAACATTATCATCGAGAAGAAACACATGGACGCACGTGGCGTCAAGGTCCAAAGTGTTCCTGAATGTGTCATCTCCTGAAGTATATTTTTTAAGCGTGATCCAGGCGGAAAGCAAATTTATACTTACGACACAATACGCACATTAAACCTTTCTGTCCTTACTTCTTGGCTACTAGTAGCTCAATCTGCTGAGTGAGCGTTGTCAGGTACTTGTTGCAGTCTTCTTGGGTCGTCAGTGGTGAGCACATCATGTACAGCACATTGCCCAGAGAACGAGCGTATATGCCGTTTTTGCGCAAAACTTGGATGAGTTTTGCAGCTTCAGTCGATGCGTAACCTGCATTCTCCGAGGCCAGCTCCACACATGCAACCGTGCCGATAGCAAACGTACGCTCAATATACCTTTTGGTGGAAAGCTTTGTAAGAACGTCGACGTCCCAGTATGCACGTGTAGCATCCTTGGTGGGGGCAGTGGCGTTGTTCAAAATCTGGTACATGTCTAGAGCAGTCACGGCAGCAGCGCAACCCATTGGGTACGCTGTGAAAGAGTGGCCATGGAGCAGTGCCTCTCCCTTTGAGTCCGCGTAGAAAGTGCTGAAAACCTCCTCCGACGTGAGCGTGGCAGCCATTGGGACCACGCCACCAGTCAGCAGCTTGGCATAGCATGCGATGTCCGGGTCAACACCGAGCAGATCACGCGCTGACTCCACACCCAAACGCCAACAACCCGAAAACACCTCGTCGTAGATGACCGGAATTTTTCGAGAACGGCATTCCTGCACGAGCACACGCTGGTAGAGCGGATCCACTAGGAACATGCCACCTGAGCCCATTAGTACAGGCTCTATAAGCGCAGACCCCACACGAACGTTCTTCTCTTCAATACATTCGATCATGTGAGCCACGTGCTTGCGATACATATCGGCCAACGGACTTTGGTCACGCGAAACATCGAAGGCAGCATTGAAAGAGGGAAGTGTATCCTCCGTCTGCTCATTGCCGGTTATTTCAGGGTCGATCGAAAGTACGTACAAGCCGCCACGCAGCGCTATTGTTGGAACTTTCAAAAAGACACCTTCGGGTCGGTACCATGGGTGCTGCTTCTCGTTGAATACGCTCTTCTCTGCAACGCACATCACACCAAGTGTGTCGCCGTGATAGCAGTTAGCCTGGGCGAGTGTGACCATTTTGAATCCCGTTGCCTCATCAGACGTGAATTCGCTATAGTCCAGCTTGTGGTCGAGCACATATTTACGGAACGCCATCTTGAGAGCGACCTCCACAGCCGTCGATCCGTCGTCTGAATAGTAAACGCGCGAGGCCCAGCCCTTGCCAACCGACGTGAGCAGCCTTTCACTGAGTTGCAATGCAGGCTCGTGCGCATTCTCAGGGAACATCACGTGGCCGTAGCGGCCCGCCGCGTATGCTAATGCCATTGCCATTTTTGAGTTACCATGTCCGACACCCTGAGTCCACCAGCTCGCACACGCATCAAATAGTGGTTCCACCATGTTGTATTCCGGACGGTACACACTAAATTCATCGCCATGAGCAGAATCAATCATGGACAGCCCACCGATCTTCTTATGCTGGGTGAATGGCCACCAGAACACGTTTTCCGCACGTTCTTTCATGTGATTAAACCTGTCAAGACGCAATTTGTGGAATAACTTCAGCGCCTTGTTCACATCTGCAAATACGTCGTTGTGTTCCAGGAACCACTTGTTCAGCGGTTCTGGCATTGGCGGGACAGCGCTCATTGTAAAGATCGGAATACCAAGTTCGCCAGCCCGCGGCTCCAAAGCTGTCGCATTATCCAGACCATCTTGTTCAATCAGACAGATGGCAGCCACATCATATCCACGTATCAACAGCGTTTCAAGTGCCGACATTGTCGTAGATATGCCACCTAGCTTCCCATCACCAACAAGCACCACAGGTAGACGAATCCCACGATAAACATCCACTTGAAACCTCATCGATGCTGTAGGGCTGCACACCCCCCCGCCGTCTCCACAAGCACCAAACTCTCTGCAGCCTTGTCTGCATTAACTTTGTTAATAGCTTTGAGCTTGTCAGCCAGCAGCTCCAGCAGCGCTTCGTCCGTAATAGTATGTCCCTCCATCTTCGCCGCAAGATGCGGCGATACGGGATTCTTCCACGAATATAATGTGGAGCACTCTAATAGTCCCTGCATCTGGTTCGTTAGCAGCGCGTGCTTCTTGACGAAAGACGCGTCACCAGGAAAAGACCCGGGGATATCGTCATCGGTTCCGGTCTGCAGTGGTTTAATGTACTCCACCCGTCCTCCAGTGACCGCTGCAATGGTGACAGCATGACGACAAATTCCAGTGGCCACAATAGTCTTACCAATGTCCGTATTGCTACCATATACTTGAAATACAGGCGTGTCGAGACTCAAAGACACGGCCCCTTGGGTACGCAGCTCCTGCTTTTGCTTAATGAGTGCGTCGGTACCCCCCAGCGTCTCCCGCACTCCTACATGGTACTTTGTAATAGAATTAGCAGGTTTGGGCAGCGTAGAGATGACGTAGCGACGGACACTTTTAGATAACATTATCAGCATCTGCATTTTTAGACTTTAAAAATGCATGTGCCATTTCATGATATAAACTTGCGAGAGTTGATGAAAGCTAAAGGTGTAGCTGACAGGGTATAAAAAGAAGGAGGGTCCCAATATTAATGTGGTGCACACACGGCTGAATTGGAAAGTATCCTTAAATAGCGTGCCTGCCTGATTCGGCGCACAACATAACGCTTCAAAACGGACTCGAGGTACTATCAAACAAGACAAATACTCATATGTTACACGTGCCCGTTAGGTACTTCGTACTTATCGGGGAAGTCTAAAAAGGAACGTGAGTACTTTAGACATCAATGTAACCCACTCTCATAAATGTGATATCCATTTACATTGAAGGAGATGACGCCCAGTTGGGACTGACTAGGCATCATGAAGACGTCACTGACGAACGTCATCAGCGAGCGTAAATATATTTTGGCTCGCCACGTAGGGACGGGCTTCTAAAAAGACGCGCATCCAACCCAATGTGTGGTGAAGTGCTAATTTTGTGATGTGGAGGTCCCAGAATCCAGTTGGATTCGGAGTATAGACCGTGGGTCAGGGACAGGGGACCAGAGAGACAGGGGCTGCGAAGGGGAGCGACCGTTGGTGGAGAACAATCCGCAGGACCCACCGAAGAAAAATCAGTATCAGGGTACCGGATAACCGGTACCAAAGGGAGTTGGTCATGGCCCTTCATTGATCGACCTGGCCCCTCGTTGGTAGACCCGGGTCCCTCATAGGTCGACCTGGGTCCCTCATTGGTCGACCTGGGTCCCTCATTGGTCGACCCGGTCCCTCATCGGTCGACCTGGGTCCCTCATTGGTAGACCTGGGTCCTCATTGGTCGACTTGGGTCCCTCATTGGTCGAACCAGTCCCTCATCGGTCGACCTGGGTCCCTCATTGGTCGAACCGGTCCCTCATTGGTCGACCTGGGTCCCTCATTGGTTGACCTCGGCCCCTCGTTGGTAGACAGACCATTGTGGTTAGACCTGGGTCCTCATTGGTCGACTTGGGGTCCGCCTCATTGGTCGAACCAGTCCCTCATCGGTCGGCCTGGGTCCTCATTGGTCGAACCGGTCCCTCATTGGTCGACCTG